GAGGCCTGTATAAGGCTCGTGTCCCCTGGAGCGGACTCCCCCAGGATCCTGCCGGCCCCGTCCCCCTCCCAGGCCTGGCCGGGTGGCAGAGGAAGACTCAGGATGCGGCCCCTTCCTTCCCAGGCGGCTCTGGCTTCGTCCCGCTTTGCCGTGATGCCGCTGGGCCCAGGGCGGCCTTTTCCGAAGGCGCCTGGGCACCTCCTGCCTCCTCTGCAGCGAACAAGAGGAAACTCCACGTGGGGTGAGGCTCAGAGGCTCCACAAGTGTGCAGGGAGCAGTGCTGCTTAACAGGAACACAAAACAGAGTGGAAACAACACGAGTGTCTGTCCACACAGCACTGGCTAAATAAGCGACAAGCATTAGCCAATGGACTACTAATCGAGCCGTGGGAAGAGCGGCACAGGTCTGCACGGGAAATAGTAAGACAGCCAAGGTCTATTAAGTAAAAATATCACGTGGCAAAATAGATCTCAACTGTACAGTGAAAATGCTCATACATGTGTAGAAAATTCCGGAGGGGTGGCTACCAACACTTACCCCATCATCACTCACAAGGAACAGAGCTGGAGGCCGGAGAGGAAGACTAACCTTTATACCTTCACACCATTTCCATCTTTTTCCTCCTTAGAAAGTGCAGTTAAAGAGCTAGCGTAAAAAGAACAAGTTCTGCATCCATTTTCCAAAGCTCTGTTTTAAAAAATTTTTCATTTATTGAGCTTCGAGAGAGAGAGAATGAGAGAAATCGATTTGTTGCTCCACTCATTCATGCATTCATTGACGTAACCCCTTGTATGCACCCTGACCAGGGATCGAACCCACAGCCTTGGAGCATCAGGATGATGCTCTAACCAACTGAGCTGCCCATCCAGGGCCCACTTTTCAAAGCTCTTCACTACCTTTCCTGGAGCAGTTTACAAACTGCTTCTCCAGGGAGAACATTTTCGCGATCAGACAGCTTTGGCTTGGGACTCACCCACCCGACCACCACGTGCGGACAGAACTGGGAGCACATTTTCCAGGCTCACCCGCGTGGCACCGCGGGTCAGCACCTCGCTGCCTTTCGGGGCTGAGTAATAGTTCCTTGTGTGGGCGGAGCATCCACTGCCTGTCCACTCCTCAGCTGATGGACGCCTGGCTGGTTGATGCTTTTTGGCTATTGTGACTGACGCTGGTATGAACATCGTTGTTTTCTAGGGGACACACGTGTTTGTTCTCTGGGACATGTCCGTCAGAGCGGAACTGCTGGATCACCTGGAGACGCTGTTTAACTATTTGCAGAGCGGCCCAGCTTCCACGGGGACTGTGCTCTTACATTCCCAGCAGCGACGTGCGAGGGTTTCAGTTTTTCCAAATCCTTGCCAACAGTTACCCTCTGTTTTGTGATTATTTTTAACTCTAGCTGTCGTGGTGGACACGGATGGCATGTCACCATGTTTTTGCCTTGCATTTCCCGAATGTCTAACGATGCTCATCATCTTTGCACGTGCTCATTGGCCACACGTACAACTTCTTTGGGGAAATGCCTATTCCAGTCTTATGCCCATTTTTAAGTTGGGTTGTTTGTCTATTTGTTGTTGAGCTCTAGGAGTTCTTTATGTACTCTGGACACAAGACACCAAGATACTGTATCTTGGTGTGTACAATGCGCACCCACATTTTTGGCCCAGACTTTCAGGGAAAAAATCTTTTGTTTTAATTTTTAACCCAATTATTTATTTATTTATTTATATTTAGAAACGAAACTGATCGCTATATGCCAGGGTATTGTTTTGCACACAGATATCGTCATTGCTTTCCAGAGTTACACTTTTAACACAGAAGCATAGAGAAAAGAATTAAAGACATTTATATAGATATGGAAATAGTACCACCCACGTATAATGTGCATTCTTATTGTTCCCTCAAAAATTTGGGCAAAAAAGGGCGCCTTGCACATGGCAAAATACGCCGTACGACTTGCAAATGCCTTCCCCAACTCTGGGTGTCGCCTTTGCACCTCATGGACAGCGTCCTTTCAGGAGTGAGCGTTTTGATTTTGGTGAAGTCCGACTGGCCGTTTGTTGTCATGGTTTGTGCTTTGGGTGTAGCATCAAAGGAATCTAATCCAAGGTCACGAAGACGCCCGCCTGCCCGTGTTTCCTGTTTCTTCGCCGCAAAGCCTGCGACTCAGGCCTGTCTGTTGGACCGCAGCACCCAGGGGGTCAGAGGCGTTTGGCTTCCTCCCAGAGGGCTGGTGCCCTTCATTCCGACGGTGTGGGTCAGTGTTGACGTTGCCTCATGCGGGAGAGGTCTCTGACGGTTCCTATCCTGTCATTTTTGCCATTATCATCCTGTCGGTAACATTCTTGTAATAAATCTCTTTTCTGGTTAAATTTATCAGAGTTGGTTTCCATGGCCTGCAGCTGAGAACTCCGGTTGATAAAGCCTTGGACAGAATCGCTGTTGCTAATTTGTGTTCTGCAGTTATCACCTTGACTTTTTTTAATAAATCAAGGGACCTTATACTAGACAGTCTCATGAAACTATTGCTTCACTTTCTGGAGGAATATTCTTGAGGATATTTTCTACCACATTTAAAGATATTTTCCACTTGAAGGCCTGTGGGATCCTTCCGTCTAGAACAAAGTGCTGGGGAGAGCTATGCGCGTCCTGAGGCACAGGTAGGCTTTCTTCTTCCGGCTGATGCAGATGGTGCCATGGGTCGCATTTTCTCTCCTGTTTTTGAAGCTCAAAAGCTCAAAAAAGGTCTACTTCAGAACTAGAAACTGCGGTGCTTTAAGATCTGCTGAATGGAGTCTAAATTTCTTCCATTACTTAGTATTCTAATATGTATGTCCCTAGGATTTCATGTGTTAAAAAAATCATACTTTATCTTTCCGCCATCTTTCTCTCTTTATCTACCTATCTACCATCTCTTTCCTCTTTATAAGCAGTCCAAAATCTTTGCTAAAACAAGGAGGTGGTTGTGCTTTCACACACGCCAAGATTAACCATTCAGTTAGCCTACAATGTCTGTGGTGCTTTAAACCAAGCTTTGCTTGGGAACAGCAGCCTTCAAGAGGCAATATATCGAGTGGCTGGAAGTGTTGGACCAGCCTGCTCTGCCACCCACTTGCTGTGTGGCCTTGAGCAAATTCCTACCCTCTCTGTGCTTTAGTTTTCTCAGCTGTAAAGTGGGCACGAGGGGCTGCGCACGAATCTGGATGATGCACGTGAAGCTATTAGAACAGTGCCCGGCAAACCACTGCAAGTGCGCAGAAATGTCTCCTATTTTAACTAAAAAATGAAAGTTCAAAAAGTGAGGAGGTCTTAGAGGCTGGGCAAAGTTGGGTGTGGGGTATTCCAGAAGCGAGAGCAGAGGGGTTGTAGTTCAGGCCCTCCCGCAGGACCAGGGGGTCGTCCCGCCTCTGCAGAAAGGCCAGGGCCCCGCGGCTCCAGTGCAGGGCGCAGCCGGGGCAGCAAAGGGACCCGCTGGAGGAGGGGCTAGGAGCCGGGAAGGGGGCGAATTTTCCTCTTGTGGGGATGGGATACGGAGGGAGGGTGCTGGGCTCGGAGTCAGCAAGCCCGGGTTTCCTGGTCACGAACGTGTGTCTCCTCGGGGAAGTCCCAAACCGCTCTGGGTCTTGGGTGCAAGTGGAGTAGGAGCTTTCTAACCGCTGGCTTCGCTCACCTGGGGCGCCCCGGGGGGCTGCAGCCGCCTTGCTCCCTCTGCCGCGAGGCGAGGTGCATTTGACTGATGGTCCCTTTCCCCGCTTTGACTCATTTCCCTCCTAAATTCTGCGAGTCAACGTTGGAAGAAAAAAAGAGTGAAGATGGGTAATTAAGGCCAAGAAAGATGGTACCTGGCTAAATTCATTATAAGCCAATAAAAATGATTGAAGTCAACCTGCATTAAGTTAATGTGTATTTATGGCAGCGCCTTTAGAGATTGTGCTAAATTGTCTCAGTTCACTGAAACCAAGCAGCGCCTTGCGTACTTGCTCGTACTTGCTCGGGAGGCGCGCCACCCGGCCCTGCCCTGCGTGAGGATGAGGGTGGGCACTCTCACAAAGACACAAGCGATGCCGCCCCCCCCACCCCCGCCAGGATACCAGTGGAGCAGAGATGGCAAGCCCTGCTGAAAGGCTTAGTTCTGTGTGTGTCTGGGAGGGTGTTTCTCTGGACGTCTAATAATTTTCAGTTAGAGATAAAACAAAACAAAACAAAACAAACCCACAGCCAACAGGAATTTAAATGACTTATAGTCAAATAAATCCAAAGTAAAACGATGAATATTCCTTCTAATGCAATTTTATAGCAAAAACTCAAAACAAAACCAACCAACCAAACCAAAAACAATGAAAGATCCTCCATGGAGAATGGGGGGAACGGCTGTCTGGTAAATTTGGCAGCTCCCTCCGCCCCCCCCTCCCAAAACGTGCTGTCGAGGGTCTCCCTGGGCTCAGCGCTGCCCTGCGACTCGGCAAGGGGCCCGCCTTCAAGGCGACCGACATTGGCCAGGTGGGCAAGCCCCAGACCTCTGGCCGCCGAGAGCCCCTTGTCAGACCCCGAGAAGCCAGGTTTCCGCCCGCAGCGCGTCCTGAACGAGCAGGTTTCCGACCTGAGCTCCTTGCAGCAGAGGGCGCGTTTCCGCCCGCCTCTGCCCCAGGGCCTTACAGGCTGTGCCGGGTGCTGGTGCCGGCGCGGGTGCCGGGCACTGAGCGGCGCTGCCGTAAATGGTTAACTGCTGGGTAAGTGGGTAGAGCGTCGACACTGCCCGGGCCGCCGCACCTGCACTTGTCACCCTCGCTGGAGGGGGAGCAGCCTCTGCGAACCGGTTCCTGCCACCCGCCTCAGGGCGCTCCTCGCGGTCTCCGCTCCGTGGGGGCGTGGCATCGAGGCCGCCCCGCCCCTCTCGCCCTCGCCACACCCCCTCCGCCTTAGAGACGCAGACGCCGCGGCGCGCTGCTCTGACGCGCGGCGCCTTTCTGTGACGTCGCCCCGCCCCGGCCCCGCCCCGGATCGCTCGGCGCTGGCCCTCCGTCCCGAGCGGCTTCTCCTGAGGCGGCGCTGAGGTGGTGACCGTGGTCGCGGTCGCGGTCCCCGCCTCGCCGGCTGTGGCCCGCTGTGGTCCCGGGTCAGCTCAGCGGCCGCCCAGCCCCTCGGGTCGGCGGGCGGTGGTGCGGCGGGGCGCGCGGACGCGGGCATGACGGAGGATGGAAGCGCAGGACGAGGTGTCGGCGCGGGAGCAGCACTTTCACAGCCAAGTGCGGGAGTCCACGGTGAGCGGACCCCCGACTCCGCTGCCCGTTCCTGGCCCCACGCCCCCACCGACTCCCGACCGCACGGCCGCCTCCCCTGGGCCACCTGCGCCCCTTCCCGCCCGGCTCCGCCCCCGCCGCGCGCCCACCGCGCTCTCGCCTCCTCCCTGCGCGCCGTTCCGTCGAGTCACCCGCGGCCCCGCGTGAAGGCCTGCGGCGTCCCCCGCGCCCGCACCGTCGTTGCTCCTCCCGGGCCGCGGTGGCGGGGCCTGGCGGGAGGACGGGGGCGCGTGCGGGTCTCGGCGGCGCGGGGCGCGCAGCCCGGCTTCCGCCGCTCCGCCGTCTGCTCGCCTGCAGCCCCACTTGTATTCAGGTCGAAACCACCTTCTGCTCGGGGGTGGGGGAAGACCGGCGATTTATGGGCCCGAGTCCCCGGTGCTCCGAGGTAGCCTCCGGGAAGCCCCTGTTTGGTCCGCGCTGCTGCCGGGGGTCGGGAGCCGGCGTGGCCGCGGCACCCGCCTGGAGGCGTCCCCTAACTCGGCGCCCAGAGCTCAGCGCCCTGGTGCCCGCCGGCGTCTGCAGAGCGGCGGAGACACGCCAACTTCTCCCCGCTTCTCTCAAGCGCAGGCCGCTCGGGGCTGGCGGGAAGAAGGTGGTTTTCCGCGGCCCCGTCGGTGCGGATGCTGATCCGGACGTCCAGGGTCCCCGTGGCAGGGCCTGCCCCGGAGGAAAGGGGATCCCTAGGTCTCAGCGGTGCGGTTGGAGACGGAGCGCTGGGTTTGGTTTGAAGTTTTAAGTTAAAGCTGCAGTGACAGAGAGGGGCGCACGACCAGGCGTCCCTCCGGGCTCGCGGCCCGGCGACCGTCGCTGCCGGCGGCGGGGCCTTTTGCGCAGTCGCAGTCGCGCGCGGGGATGCTCGCGCCTGGCTCTCCCCGAGCGACGCCTGGGAAGCCCCCGCGCGCGCACGCTCCCGGAGGTCCCGCCGCAGGAGAGGCGCGCGGACCTCTTTGCGGCACTTGGTGTTTCCTGCCCTTCCCAATTTTAGCCCCTCTAGTAAGTGGGTCGTAATACTTGTTGCACGAAAGATTTTATTTGCGTTTCCCTGATGATGAATGAAGTTGAGCACCTTTTCATTTGCTTGTCGGTCATTTGGAAATCCTTCCAGAAGTGTCTTCCAGACTTTTTCCCACTTTCCAATTAGTTTATTTATGTTTTTAATATTGATTTGCAGTAGATACGATACCTTGGTCAGAGATACAGATATGGCAACCTAATGACATTTTCTAACGAGCAGAAATTCTTATTTTCTTAAAAAGATTTTATTTATTTTTAGAGAGAGGGGAAGAGAAGGAGAGAGAGGGGAAACATCCATGTGTGGTTGCCTCTCGCCCACTCCCCACTGGGGACCTGGCCTGCAACCCAGGCCTGTGCCCTGACTGGGAAGGGAACCAGCAGCCTTTGGTTCGCAGGCCGGCGCTCAGTCCACTGAGCCGTACCAGCTGGGGCTGTAATTCTTAATTTTAATATAGTTCATTTTATCAAGTGTTTCCCTTTTGTGATCAGTGCATTTTTGTTTTATGCCCCTTTTAAGAAATCTTTCTTAACCCAAGGTTAGGAAGAGGTTCTCTTGTGCTTTTCCCTAAAGGCTTGATTTGCTCTCCCCCATTGAGACCCGAGTTCATCCGCAGTGTATCACTTGTGTGTGCCGTGAAGTCGGAGCCATATGTGTTTCTTCACATGGATGTCCAGTTGCTTAAGCGCTGTTATGACCTTTGCCACAATTTAGGTGACTGCATATTTGTGGGGTGTAACTATGGGCTCAGTGCTGCTCCATTGGTCTATGTATTTTGGCTTTATTTTGCGTTAATTAGCTATTCTGTCATTTGGATTGCAATCCCACGTAATGGCAGCCAGGAGCCTTGTTGCCTTGTCTCCTGCCACCTTTTACCTACCACGCCTGTCGAGCTTCTGCGTAATAACAAGGGGTTACAGTCAGATTCCAGTCAAGGAGGAGTCGCTAGAGAAAACGAAAGGCGATGGGAGGCACAAACGAGGGCCCCGGTGGGGGCTCTGGCCTCGACGCCTGCAGGATGTGCACCCGTCAGCACAGCCCAACTCACAGCCAGAGAAACACGCAGCCTCACGCTGTGGGGGCTGTTTCCCTCCGTGCTTTTGACTGTGTGCGCAGCATCTGCCTTCGAACAGAAACATCACAGGTCTTACTACAAGGCGAAAAAAACAGTCTCAAGAGACAAAGAAAGCATCAGAACCAGACTCAGGTATGACAGATTTGGGAATTATAAAGCCAGAATTTAAAACATCTGAGTGATGTGCTAGGGGCCCTAGTGGAAAAAATGCACAGCATGCAAGAGCAGACGAGGAATGCAAGCAAAGCGAGGGGACTCCAAAGCAGCGGTGGAAATCGAGTGACCTGTAACGGAAGTGAAGTGCGCCTCTGATGGGCTTATCAGTTGGCCGCACAGGACCGAGGGAGGAATGAGTGAGCTGGAAGATAGGTCCACAGAAGCTTCCCAAACTGAAAAGCAAAGAGAAAAAAAAGAGATTAAAAAAAGAAATAGAACAGCCAAGAATTGTAGGACAGTTGCAAAAGATGTGATATACATGTATTGAGAATGCCGGACAGAGAAGTATACAGAAAGGAACAGGAGAGATATTTGAATCAATAATGGCTGACAGTTTTCCAAAAATTAATACAGACACCAAACCACAGATCTAGCGAACTTAGGCACCACCACGCAGGACAAATACCAAAAATATCTAGGTCTAGGCAAATCATCTTCAGATTGCAGAAAATTAGAGACAGAGAACAGAGGAAAGAAGCCGGAGGGAAAAAAGCTCCTTACCAATAGCAGATCAACACTAAGAATCAGCCTTGGCCTGTGGTTCAGTGGTTGGAACATCCTGTACACCGTAAGGCTGTGGGTTTGGTCTCTGGTCAGGGCATATATCTAGGTTGTGGGTTTGATCCCCACACACAGTACATACCGGAGGTTGTGGGGTGCATACGGGAGGCAACTGATCAATGTTCTCTCTGTCTCCCTTCCTCTTCTTTCTCTAAAATCAATAAACACACCAGTTTAGGATTTAAAAAAAAAGAAGTAAGAATTACGTCAGATTTCTCTTCAGAAACCATGCAAGCAAAAAGAGAGGAGTAAAATATTTAAAATGTTAGTAAGAAAACAAACCCACCAACCTAGAATTCTGTATCTCGCAAAGTTATCATTTAAATGTAAAGAGAAATAAAAATTTTCTCAAAGAAAAATTAAGGGAAGTTGTTGCTAGTAGGCCTGATACTAAACCCAGATAAAGACATTGCAACAAAAGAAAACTACAGACTAGTATCGCTCATGAGCATAGATGCACAATTCTACAAGAAAATACTAACAAACTGAATCCAACAATGTGTAAAAGGAATTACACACCATGACGAAGGGGGCGTGTCCAAGGTATGCAAGGCTGGTTCAACATTCGGAAATCACTCGGTGTAATCTGTCACATCAGTTGGACTTCAAAGAACGTAGTTTTTGGTGGGCCACAGAATTTTAGTAATTAGTTGGTGTTGCCATGAGATCACTGTGCTGGAGCAATCTTGCTGCTTCTTAAACTGCATATTTATTATCACTATGCTTTTGGTTTGGGTTTACTTTTTCTTTTATGGTGAATTAAAATCTCTCAGCTAAAGTAGTGTCTTTTTCCTTGCATGTTCAGTGTTTAAAAATATATTTCGGTGCTATGCTTTTTGGCACATGAAGATTTTTTTCCCTCATCTTGGGTTATATCATTGTTCATAAAGTGCCTGACTTTGTCTTACTTCACACCTTTTGCCTTAAATTTAGCCTTGTCTGAGAGAAGAAAAAAATGGACACCTTAGCTTTTCCCTTTGTTAACATTTGCCTTTTGATAGTTTGTCTTATTTACAAAGTGATTTTAATGTTTCATCTCATTATTTTTGTGTTTTCATGTGTTTCACTACACAGTACGGGTTTTTCTTATGTATTTATTTTCCTGGTTCTTAGGGTAATTTGAAAGAATTATAATTTAAAAATTTTTTAGATTTAATTTTAAAACTACAGTTGGCACATAGTGTTGCATTAGTTCATGTGTGCAGCACAGCGGTGAGACGCGTGTGTACCCTGTGAAGCGATCACCTGGGACGATAAAAACTAATTAAAAAAATCCTAAAACACCCTTTCAGTGCAGTCTTCTCGCAGCCTCCCTGGTCAAGTGCTTTTAGCGCGGCCGCTTCTCCACTGGGACCCCTGCTCCCACCCATCCGCCTGCTCGTCTCCCTTGTCTCTCCCGGTGTCCTTCGGGCTCACGGCCAGTCATTCCACTCCCACTCGTGAGGTGCCCCAAACCAGGGTTCCCAGGCTGCGGTCCTGGGATCGCTGGGCGGCGGCGGCGAGATCCCCGGGACAGAAGAAGCTGCCTGGGGAGAGCTGGTGGAATGAAAGGAGATTCGTGGCCTAACCCCGGAATCATAGGGACAGATGGCATTTAAAGGCTGCCAGGAAGGGGCAGCGCGGAAGGGCGACCGGGAGGGCGGTCCGGAGCAGGACGCCACCTGGCGCGGGAGCTGCTGCGTGGAGGACGGGGCCCCGTGGCTGTGGGGTCACTCCTGCCCCTGCCGGGGCACGCGGAGCGGGGCAGGGGCAGGCAGCCGGGCTAGGGCTTGGAGCGGGGAGGTGGGAAGCCAAGGCCGCAGGCGAGGGCCGTGTGGGCAGGAGAGGGCAGGGCACCGGGGGGACCGGGCCCCTGACCTGGCGCTTTGGGGACCCGTCCTGCACTGGCCTCGGCACCTGAGAGCCAGACCCCCAGCGGCACGTGCCTTCTGGCCGCCCCGGCGGTGCGGAGTCCGGTGTGGTGGGCCTGCGGCTTTAAAGGCTGCTTCCTCTCCCCTCGAGGCTCCCATGTGCTGCGTGTCCGCCCCCCCCCCCCCCCCCGCTCCTTGGACGTGCCTCCATGTTGTCCACAAAACAGAAACCACTGAGAGTGTCCGTGCGTCCCCTGCTCACCTGCTCAGCTGCCTGCGGCCGCTCCAGTGTCTGTCTGTCCGTCCCCTGCTCTTCCTGGGCGGGTTCTAGCTGGCCCTTCCACATGGGCACCTTTCGTCAGCACTTCTGTGTTTTCTTGTGTCATTTCTCTCTCGTGGATATTTCTGCAGCCATTGTAACTTTTCCCATCTTAACCGGCCCCCGCCCGCCCCCCGCCCGTGAATCCACATTCCCTTTGCGTTCCCTTTGCTTCCCAGTATCATATACCTTCTGGAAAGAGCTGTCTACATTTGTTTCCAGTTCCTCTCAGTCCTCTCAGTCAGGGCTTTGCCTCCGCCCCTCTGGACACCTGCAGGTCTTGCTCTCAGACGTCCCCAGATGTCCCCGTCCGCGAGGTGTGCTCCTGCCCGCTGCGGGCACTCTGTTCCCCTTGTGCCCTGACACGCTGTGTCCTTTTGCATTTATGAGCTGCCTTCCCACTGGAATGGGAGCTCAGGGAGGCTGGCACTAGGAGGTGTTCCCGGCTGGGCTCCCAGTCCTCGGAAGACTGCTCACAACACGGAACTGCTGAGGGAGCGGCGCCTGCCAGCCCCTGCCCAGGCGCTAATCCCCTCGGCCATCTGAGCTCCCGACTTGGACCCTGCGCCTCGGGTGTTTACGCCGCTCTCCCAGCCCGCTGGGCCCTTGTCCCACTGCGCACAGTGTGCCCTGACTCCTGCCCTTTGCATTTCTGCACCGGCGACTGGTTTTCCTTGACCCCCGTCCCACACTCAGAGGATTTTGGGAGGAGGCGGTGAGGGTGTCCCTTCTCTTCTCTGCCAGAGCTCCCTGTGGGCTCCGCAGGCCGTCTCTGATGCCCCGACTCCGCTCCTCGGGTCACTGTCCCTTGAGTGTCACTGTGATGGGAGGCTCCTAGTCTTCCTCTCCATTTTTTTAAAAAAAGTATTTCATTTACTTATTTTTAGAGAGAGGGGAAGGAGGGAGAAAGCGAGGGAGCAGGACATCAATGTGAGGGAGAAACATTGGTTGCCTCTCACACGCCCTCACTGGGGACCTGGCCCGCAACCCAGGCCTGTGCCCTGACCGGGAATCGAACCGGTGACGGTGCTCAACCCACCGGGCCACTCTGGCCAGGCCTCCCTCTCCAGCTCTAGCCTGTCTTTTCCTAGGCGACAGACACTACAGAGATGTCCACCGTGCAGGTCCGAGGTCGTTCCCAGTCACATGCTGCCGACCCGTCCTGACAAATGCGCACGTGGGGTGGTGCCTCCTAGACTTTGTCGTCACCTGGGACACTTTTGGCGGAGAGTCTTCAAAACACTTCGCCGTGGTCCGTGGTTCTCATAAGCCTGTGTTTCCGGCACACCTGGTCCTCGACTGTGATGGGATCCATGTCTCCACCCGTCCTTTTTGCCTGTCATACCCTCGATCTGCTAGGAATTAAGTGGAATTTAATATTAAAGTCTCTTGTTCAGCTTCGGTTTATTTTGACATACGGTGTGCTTGCCGAACAGTTACTGTGACATTAGTTAGGGACGTCCCGTGGACATACACCACGTGACGCCCGTTTTTGCGCCGTAGATCCGCCCTGCTGATGTGTCGAGTGCCGCCCCCGCAACCCCTGGGCGCCGCCGGCCCCTCACGGCGTGTCCCGCTCTCAGGCGGGAGGGCAGCTTCCCCCGACTGGCTCTCCAGATCTGCCGGTGATGTTCTGGCTTTTACGCGTCCACCTGGTTATGAAAACAGTTTGGTCAGATCATGAAAAGAAAAACCTCCATTGCACTTTTTTTCCTGAAATAGTATTAAAACTGGTCCATATAAATTAATACTTCACCCAAACTTCATAATAGAAAAACATTTAAAATGTTTACTTTGTGATAGACTAAATTCTCTTTTTCTGTAGATACCAAGATGTGTCTCTTATTTAAAAACGTGTGGAAAATGCCTCGACAGATGATGTGTTAACTCTGTCTGTTTCAGATATGCTTCCTCCTCTTTGCCGTTCTCTACGTTGTCTCCTACTTCGTCATCACAAGATACAGGAGGAAGTCAGGCAAGTAGAGTGCGGTGGCGGTGAGCCCCGGGTCTCCCCGCCGGGCCTGGGCCGGGTGCATGGGCTGCTTGGGCCCTCCGCGCGGCTTGCAGCCACGGTGCCCGGGCCTGGGGCGGGCAGTCGCCAGCACCGAGAGCACTGAAGGCGGTCTCGGGGGGCCTGAGCACGCGGGTCGCCCTCACGGGCCCGGCCTTGTCTGCCATGTCCTCGGGCCCAGGGCAGCGTAGCACGGGCTCTCCAGCCTCCGGGACACTCGGCCTTCGTGAGGCTCTTGGTCCCCAAGACCGGCTCTGGGTGTGAAGGGGCCCCCCCGCCGCCCCCCGGCTCTGACTTCCCGACGAGCTTGCTTTCTCTGCAGTGGCACGCAGTTCAGTCTCCCCAGCACGAGCGCCTCCCTAGGTTCCATCTGTTCTTGCCGGGGGGGGCCCCTATGTCTTTGTTGTTTTTTAAAGAACTTTGTACGTCCCAGAGTTTGTAAGTACGCAGGCAGTTACCCTACTGCCTCCTCTTAAAGCTCAGCTGTTTTCTAGAATCACAGGCTTTTCTGCCTGTGACCTCGGGCCAATGCCAGGTGCCGTTTGGATGCTTAAGCATCCCAGAGGTGGAAGGCTCCTTACACTACGTTCTCGTGTCGCCCTTGTCAGACTCGCGAAGGTGAGCGGGACATGCCGCTGGCTCCGGTGTGTCCCCTCGGTGCGCTCACGTGGCGCTCTGAGCGCACCGAAGTGTCCCCAGGACTCCGTGATCCTTCAGGTTTGCAGACCTGATGCCCTGACAGACCTCAGCTAGTTTGAAAGGTGCTCTGGCAGCAGGCATCGCAGGTTGCGGGCACAGACTTGTACGCACAGGTGGTAGGAGCGGATGTTTTAGGGGACGCGAGGGGATGGTGAGCGGGGAAGCGGGGGAGGCGTAAGATGCCTTTTAGGACGAGCACAGGGCGGGGCGGCAGGGCGGCAGGGCTCTGGGCCTAGTTGGTAGAGGGTGGAGAGAGAATTGAAAAAAATAAAACATTCTTTAAGGTGTTGATTGGATATGGGCTCAACCGTGTGAAGATGAACTGTGACCGGGTTGTTTTGTGGTCCCTTTAGTTGTGAAGCTGTTTTGAGCAGCCTGTAACTGAGACTGTAGACTGGGCTGAGCATGGCCCACATGTGCTTCGGCAGCGAAGCAGGTGGGCGCTCAGAACTGCAGGGACTGAGAGGGAGCCTGGGAGGGCAGGCCGGGGGGTGCTGAGGGGAGGCAGGGCCGGGGGCCGTGCCGCATTCTTTTTTCTTTTTTTAAAAAGATTTTACGTATTTATTTTTAGAGTGAGGGGAAGGGAGGGAGAAATAGAGGGAGAGAAACATCTACGTGAGAGAGAAAGGTTGTCTCTCGTGTGTATCCCAACTGGGAACCATATCTGCAACCCAGGCATGTGTCCTGCCTGGCAGTCGAACCGGCGACCTTCCGCTTGGCAGAGCGATGCCCAGCCGACTGAGCCACTCCAGGCAGGGCCCAGAGTCTGTGGCTGGGTCAGAGAGCCTGTGGCGGGTGAGTTTGCGTGGGAGGACGAGAGAGGGTGCTAAGAGCCGAGTGGGGTGGGGGGCTGCCGTCGGCAACCCGGATGGGGGTGAAGGCGGCACCACAGCCGGTGTAGGGTGGTCCAGGTGAGTCCTCGTCGCTGCCCCTGCTCCTGACAGGCTTGGAGCACGGACAAGAACGTGCGTTCTCATGGGCTGGTTTTTAATTTTATAGTAACCTTTTTTTTTTTTTTTTTTTTTGGGCTGAGATCAACCAGAAAATTTCATTCATTTCACTTGCATTGTGTAACAGTAAACTTGGCAGTGGTCCGAAGGGTCTGCTAGGTCTGGTTTTATTGAGCGCTGAATGTTTGGGCCACTTTAATTCACGTGTGGTCATTTTGTTAAGGGTTTTTGATTAACCAAAACAGTATTCTTTAACTGTATTTTATCCTGATTTAATGAAACTTAAATTTGGGTGTGTGCTGACATAAACACAGTGCTGTTTAAAAGTTGTTTTCATTCAACAGTTGCTTCTTTAAATTTATACTTTTGTTTGTTTTTAATAAACTAATGAAACCTCGTGCTGGAAGACAGAGTAACGTAAATGCCTTAAACGCTTTTGCAGATGACCACGAAGATGAAGATGCTGTCGTCAACAGGATCTCGTACGTATTCTCAGTCTGGTCATTGCTTCTTAGTTCTGAAGCCATAACGTTCTCAGCATTCCCTGCTGCCTCTTGGGCAGAAATATGGAAGAAGTTTGCCTAAAGCATTATAACACCTTCATCAGTGTTAATCCAGTCCGCGGACAGCACGCGTAGGCAAGTGTGCACGGACAGTGGAGGACTGGTCACCGCGTTAAAAGGAGTGTATTTCAGGGGCCGGTGGACTCCATCCTCGGGAGGTGTGGCCAGAGGGGCGGCTCTCAGCTGTGGGAGTGTCTTCGGGGGGCCTGTGGTTTCGGAGGAGGCAGGAGGAGGGCAGGCGACTGCGGCAGACCCCTCCTGCGAGCAGGGGGCGGCCCCCTCGGTGCCCAGGGCTCTGCCTCTGCTCGGGCAGCTGATGGCGTGGGAGGGAAGTGCCTTGACCTTTTTTGGGAGTCAAACTAGATGGAGAGGAGTGAATTCCTTTCTGCCAGAATTTGTGTGATATAATATTTGGAACCACACGGCTATGCCTACTACACAGGAGAGCATCTGTGTTCCGGGGCGGTTTTTATTGATACCTAAGATTTCTTTTTGAAATAGCCCCACATTTATAGGAAAGCTAGAAATATAATACAAAGACTTTCCTCACCGAGCTCCTGGGCCGTCGCCAACTGGACGCGTTTTCACAGGACACTTTGTATCTCTTTCCTGTGACGGCCCATTGTCCTGTGACCCCGCCAGGCGGCCCTCCACGCTAGCAGGCGAAGTTCATGTTGACGCAGGCCCACCGTGCCATGGTCCAGTGTGCTAGTCCTCCCGATACGTCCCTGGTAGCGCAGGGCGCAGGTCGGAGTGCGCTGCCGCGGGCAGGCGTCCTGTCCCCGCAGCCGCCGCCTGCAGACTGGGACGCGCCTTCAGTCTCCTTGGTTCCGTGGCCTTGCGTGGATTTTTCTGTCATCCCTTCATGCTTAGTGGCAGGTCACACAGCCCTTGCCGAGGCGCGGGGCAGGAGGGAGACTGCGTGCATGCACACTTGCGTGCACACACTCAGGTGTGTGCACGCGTGCGCTGTCCCTGCACCGAAGCGTTGCTCCGCCCTGAGGAAGAAGGCGGTCCTGCCGCCTGTGTGGCACAGGGGCCTGGAAAACACAGCACTCAGTGAGAGAAGCCCGTCACCAAAGGCCACAGCCTGTCATTCCCTGTAGGAGAGACACCCAGAACGGGGGCCCGGGGGGGGGGGGGGCCCATGGGGGGGCAGCCGCCCGGTGGGTTTGGGGTTTTCTTTGGGTCAACACAGTGTCTGGTCACACAACACTGAACGCACTCACTGTCCCTGAATTGATCACGTGAAAGTGGTTAATTTTATGAGACTTTCACTTCATTAATAAATGGCTTGAACAGGACTGATGTGATTTATAACTGAAAACTGAATATGGATGGATCCTGCGTTACTAGGTTTAAATTACTGAAGTATGTAAGTTATTTTTAAGTACCTTAGGGAAGATACCTCCGGCTTCCTACGATGAGTCCCCTGTACGGATTTAAAGCGGGGGGCCTGAAACCTGACACCCTAAGTATGCAGGACTGGGGGCCCCGGGGGTTTGTCCCGCGTGCCCTCGCGTTTGTGAGAATGCTCAGGTGAGCCGTGCGCCCAGGTCTCACAGTCAGCAGCGGGGGGAGGAGGGAGGGGGAGGGCTCCCCCTCTGTCCCCCTCTGTCCCCCTCTGTCCCCCTGCCCCTGTTGCCGCACATTCCGGTCCGGGGCCCTGGTGGCTTCAGGCACGTCGCCCGCCCTCCTACGCATATGGCTCAGTAAGATTACGCGTCCCAGGTTCAAGTGGGAACTGGGGTCGGCCGTCATGAGTGGGTGCGCGGGGAGGGCAGGGAGGTGCCGGGAGGGCTTCGCGGTGCCCTGAGGGGGAGGCCGGCTGCGGGCCTACGCGGGGCGCCACACCCCGGGCGCGGGGCGGGCGGTTTGACTCTGGCTCCCGCCCGGGAAGAGTGGCTGGGAGCTCCCACGGGACCTGTGCTCCCCCCGCCGCGAGCACAGGGCCGACGCGCGCCCCTGGCCGGCTGGGCAGGGGACCTGGGTGAGGGCCTGTGCTGCTGCGGCGCCCAGCGGGCACGTCCAGTCTGGTTTGGGCGGCGTCCGTGCTGAGTGTCACCGGGGCATCTGTCAAGGGCAACGGTGATGCATGGCCGGGTTTCGGGTTTCACGCGGCTTTGGCTTCTGAGCGGGAGGGCCCTTCCGCGGGCCGCCACGAGGTGGCGCCGGCCGCGCGGCCACTGCGCTCGGAGGGGCGCCGGGCGTTCGGTGCGACCCTGCCCGGTAGATGTTAGGTTTCCACGTTCTTCCCGTGCGTGCTGCGGCGGGATGGGGAGCAGACCGTTTCCTCCTCCAGTGTTGGCGAGATCCCCGTGTTCTTTGCCGTTTAAAAAATCTTGAAGATACAGATATAAAATTTAGACATTTCAGACGTGTGTAACTGAGAGGGAAAGCCCCTTACAATCCCACCCTCCGCAGGGACTGTTAGGGACCGGAACGCTGCGGATTGTTGTGGCTCCATTTTTCTTTGTGTACATATGAGATTTTTGGGAGGGAGGGGCATGTTTTTATTTGTTGCTTTCCTTCCCTTTTTTCTTGTTTTAGACACCTTTCTAAATTTGTACATATTAGAGATATTTTTAAAAAATGACAAGATAGTGTCTTCAATACTGTTTAGGAGTCTAATATTCTTTAACAAGTCCCTACTGTGTGATTTATAACGTAAGTACATTTCGCCCATTTCAAACGGTGGGAGGCTGACGGCCTGTTTTTCCTGCTGAAATAGCCTGCTCTCCATCCTGCTGTGACGCCCCGTTTTCACCTGTAACGGTTGCTGCCTTGCTTTCGGGGTGCACTGCCGGAGCTGTTACGCAACTGCAGAGTGAACCCCACACGCTGGAAAGAGGGAGGAGGCCCAGCTCATTCTCTGTCAGATGCGGGGTGCGCCGCGCCTTCAGGGCATAGGGCTCTCACGGGGCGCAGGGCAGACGGACCCCGCGGAGGCGGGGCGCGGGCACCCCCCGGCCCAGCTGCCCTCCAGCGGCAGTCACCGCATGGTCTCCTTCCGTGAAGGCTCCTGGGCAGCTGCGTGGGAGGCTTTATGCGTCTTGGGTGATGCGCGTCCCTCGCTGTCCCCGGTGGCTGGTGACGCGCCTCTCTGCTCTTCCAGGCTGTTTCTGAGCACGTTCACGCTCGCGGTGTCCGCGGGGGCGGTGCTGCTGCTGCCCTTCTCCATCGTCAGCAACGAGATCCTGCTCGCCTTCCCTCACAACTACTACATCCAGTGGCTGAACGGCTCCCTGATTCACGGTGAGTGCGCCTGGTGCGGGCCGCTCGCAGCCCAGGTTGGATTTTCCCAGCGCTGTGTGTGTAGGTTCCTTCCCGTGGTTTCTTCCTGGTGTACCTGTCTTCAGTCAACCATGTGAGGCCTTAATGTAATAGAAAACCAGATTTTACTTACCATCCTTATTGCTTGTGAGCTGTGAAAGGCTTTTCTATTTTACTTAATCAAGAAGCAGTTTTTGTACTGACCATACTTTTGATAAGTAAATTTTCATTTAAGTATGTAGCACGAGAATTTTGGTTTATCTGGACACGTCAGAAGACCTCTACCTCCATTTAAGATCTAAAAAAGGTAGCCATAGTTTCCATTTTATTTATTTGCTGTTAGTTTCTTTAGTCATTTCAAAAATGTGTGCTAGAAGGGGGAAAAACTCTTATCAAGTACAAACTTTAAAATGAATGTGGCTGAAAAGAAAATAATGATTTACTTATAGGCAACATGGTATATTGCTTTGAAACCAAATAGACCTGCAGTCCAGTCTTAGCTCTGCCATTTTCTAGAAATTTCTAATGAATTAGGACATTTTAATTTGTAAGATATACCTAAAGGTCTGATGTGTATATTTTTATCTTTTTATGGTTCCTTGTCCCTCCTTTTTTCTGTATTATGTGATATCTTTTGTGTCACACGGCTTTTTATACGACTTTTGGAAATGTTTTTCTAGTTATTTTGTTTTTGAATTTGTTTGCTTTTTTGATTTATAGAAGTTTCACAGTTTTGTGTTGCCCAGCCGTTTTCTCCCTTTGGTTTCTCTAGTTGTGTTTGTGTTTGGACAACCCTTTCCCTTCCTCAGGTGTCACCAGTGCACCCCTTTTTTCTCACTTTAAAGAAATGGTTTTGTTTATATTTAACTATTTAACCCACCTGGAGTTTATATGCCTTTTTTCCTATACCTTGGGGTGTATCTAAAGAAATACACGTTTGCCGTAGAATATTTGGAAAATAAAATGTATAGGGGAGAAAGTTACCGTCTGTCACAGTCCTGCAGCGCGGAGCGCAGTGTGGGCGCCGTGGCCTGTAGCCTTGTGGTTCTCTGCGTGTGTGAGCGCAGTGGCCGAAGGGGCCGGCGGGCTGTTGCTCTGTGCCCCCACCCATGCGCGTGGGTCCAGGTGGTCAGCTCTCCCTGCCGGAGCACAGTGTTACCCAGAGCTGCTGTAGTCACGGGTTGGTGGGGGGGTTCCCGTGGTTTTAATTAGAAAAGCGACATTGTGTATCTTTGTAAATAGTCATTTGTCCTCAGGGTCAGCTTATGCAGTTCACTCGCCAGGTAAGCACACCTCAAGAGTGTTTGAAAAAGCATTTCCCAATTATTCCTCGGAAAAGCTGCGCCGATTTCACGGGTGGTTTTACTCTCATGGGCAGGACGCAAGAGTATGTATTCCCAGAATGTATTTTTACCAATTTTGGTTTTTAGTTAAAAAAAGAAAACGCTGCTGCCCTGACCTGCGTGGTTCAGCTGGAGCGTTGCCCTGCGACCCGAAGGTCACGGCTCGGTCCTGGTGAGGGTGCGTGCGCGGGCTGCTGGTTGGTCCCCCATCGGGGCTTCGCTCGGTGCTTCTCTCTGGCATCGATGTGTTTTTCCCTCTCTTTTCCCTCCGTTCCCCTCTCTCTGAAACCAGCAGGCATGGCCTGGGGTGAGGCGAAAACCGAAAACCCCCAGAAGCCCCAGCCAGGTCAGTAGACGGCATTTTTTCCTTTCAGTTTGCCCTTCTGCGCACCCCGTGCGGGCGGACACGTGGGGAGCACGGTGGCGGGTCGTTCCCCTTTGGAGTTTGTGAATTGCCTGCCTCTATTCTCTGCCCCTTTGGCAGTGTTTTGAAGTAATTAGCTGTCAGATTAATTGCAAACATTTCCTTCCTGATTGTCCTTTACCATTGCTTAAGCTGGTTTCTGATACAAGAATTACACCATTGTAGTCTAATCACGTATGTTAACCTGGCCTTGTGGTTTCTGCTGTGCTTGGAACTGGAGGCGAATGGAGTCCTCGGTGCTCTGAGGACCGAAGGAGTCCTGCAGAGTTCGATTTAGTTATGACATCAATACGGAGACGTCACCTTTGTTGGTTAGCAATTGAAAAACTCAGATAAGGAGATGAAGGTACTCACTTCTATTCTCTCTTCTCTCTCTCATTCTGTGTACGGACTGGGAGGAAGAGCTGCCAACACGGGACATGCTGTGTCCTTGGCACTGGAGGTCTGACCCCGCAGTCCCTTGCTCGTGTTGGGTGTCTGTCGTGTTGCGATGCCAGGCGTGCGAGCTCAGGCATTTTACCCTGTGTATACCCAGGGCCAGGACGGCGCTGCCCGCACAGCGGCGGCCCGGGAGCACGTGCTGAGGGAGCACGCTGTGTAAGACTCCGCTCGGGCTGAGAGTTGGGGGAAGCGCCTCCTGAGAGGCGCCACTGCTGTGAGTGCCCACGGGCCGGCCTCGGGGGCTGGGGACAGCAGCCCGGGGCCTCGTTCTGGGGGCCGTGGGTCCCTCGGCTGTGTTTCCCCCTGTGATTCTTTGGGGGACCCGCGCCCTTCGCTGCATGTGGTGAGGCTGCAGGAGGAGCCGTGGGTTCCCAGACCTCGGGCCGTGCCGCCCTCCTGCTGGGCGGTGGCTCCCCCAGCGGACGCCCTGCTGTGGGGTGGTGCTTTCACGCAGGTGGAGTGGGGGCCGCCCCAGGCTAAGGCAGGGCCCGCCGCGAGGCAGTGCCTGAGGCAGAACCCACTGTCCACGGACGCTGGGTCCGCACTCTCGCTGGGGACCGCAGGGATGCCGGGTCCCCTGGAGTTGGTGTCCGCAGAGGGCCTGCCCCCTCCCCGGCGCCGGTAGGCCCGCCGCGCCCATTTGCCGACAGGTGTGGGCTGTGGTCTTCCCTTCACTTGCTATTCGTGTGTGTGAGAAACCTTTCATGAATTTATACAACATTCTTGTGAGGGCTCAGAATATGTCTTAAAATTTCAGTTCCCCTTGAATCACCTATTTCAGTACTTTCACACTGAAAACGTAAAGACGCGTTGATTGGATGAACAGAAGTTCCTGTGTCGTTAGGTGCTTTGGTAAGAGTGAACTTAATTGGGAAAGCGGTGGAGCGGCTTACCGTGTGTGATCGTCGCGGTGTGTGTACCTGACTGACTGTGCCTGGCACGTACACACCGCGTAGAGCAGAGGCCCACAGGCGTGTCCACGGCGCCCTGGTGCGTGCGAGCCCGCTCAGCGCCGTCCGACACGGCGTTCGGGTTTGGGGCGCGGGGGCGGCGGAGCGGTGTGTGGGCCGCGTCACCCCCTGGGGACGCCGCTTCCCTCCCCTGGGCCGGGCTTGAGCGACGAGGACAGTACAGCGTCAGTCCAAGCCCCTGTCGGGCGTGGCGGGGCGCCGCTCTGCGCCCCGCAAGGAGACCGGCGGGCAGCTCGCGGGGCGGGGCCGTGCGGCGGGGGCCCCGGCCCTGGGTCGGCACGACGCCCTGAGCGCGTCCCCGCTGCCCCGGCGTGGGCGAGGCCGGAGCCAGCGCAGGGCAGAGGTGACCGGCCGGAGTGGCCGCTGGGCTTCCCGCGGGCGTTTTATCGCTGAGTGTGCACGGTAGACCGGGCGAAGCGGACGGGGAAAGCGAGCATCCATTTGTGTTCGCTTTCTGTGTCATGTATGTTAAAAATCAGTGAGAAACAAGAAACTGCAGTTTCATGAACTGCAGCGCGACACGGCGACTGCACGGGGCTCCCTGCGGGGCGTTAACGGCGCCGTGGGGCGGGGGGCGTCGCGCGGCGCTGTCCGGCTCGGAGGGCCCACGGAGTCCTCATTTTGAAATGGCAGTGTTACGTGGTGTGAGTTTAAAGTTAAAATCGCAAGCGACGGTGCGCCTCGGACGGCAGGAGAATGACGGAATGAAAATTGTAGCCTCACAGCCGGGAAATACGTCTTCAGTTCCTGAGGCATTTTCCCCGGGTGGCGGGGGCAGTTTTTGTGAAGCTCCGCGTGCGCACTCGAGACCGCGGGAGGCGGACGGGTGGCGTGACCGCCCCTCTCGAGGCCGGGCCGCCGGCAGGGGGCGCAGCGGGTCTGGCCGGTCCTGGCGGGGGCTGTGTTTTGATTGGTCAGCAGCGTAGACGATGTGTGGTGGTGGACGTCTTGAAGACTCAGTAGAAAGTCCACCTTTGCTTTATCCATTTTCAAGTCCCACAGAAGATTTTAAAAATCCTACTTGTAGATACTATTTATACTTACGTGTAAATATTAAAACTCACCTATTAATACATTTTAATGTACCATTGTTAGTTAAACGTTACCAATAATTTCTAGTTCATTGGTCCCAATAGTGCGGTCATTTATCATAATAGATACATGTAATTATTCACTATAGTTACAGTCACCTATAACATATACATAACTGTACATATAATAGCGATTTGCAGCCAGTGCGTTGCAGGAACGTCTGAAACATGCGCCCACACCTCTCTCGGCCGGGGCACTGGCCTCTCGCCCCTTGGACGGTCAAATTAAAAACAACAGCAGCCAACACAGCACGAGCCGTCCGGTGGGAATGAATCAAACTCACACCAGCTTCTCTGTCAGATGAGCGAACGGCATGTTTCGTGGTTTAGCAGTTAGTTTGTATGCGCCCTGAGATGGAAAGGGTTGACAGTCACTCGTCTCTGATAACTAAAATAGAAAACCATCCAGGTGTTCAGAGCAGGAAATTTACTTACATTTTTGTAGCGTCGCACGGGAGTGCGTTTTCCTGATAGACGATGATGAAGGTGAGTATTGGTGATACAGAAAGACAGGGAAAAATGTTTTTCTCTGGGTGGTAGGACGATAATGATATAAAATTTTAGTATTTGCATTGTGTAGTGTTTCTACAGTGGCATGTGTTGCTTTTTTGTTATAAGAAGAAAGTTATATTAAGGTAAAAAATGCCACAACTCACTGTGAAAATTGTCCTTTTGTTTGGTCTTCTAAGTGAATAAGCAGAAGCTATCCTAG